GTGATTTGAGATAGGGATTTTCAGGATTTTGACACTGAGGGAACAGGTCAGTGAACTAACTTGAGGGGTACCTGGAGGGAGCGGTGTTCTCATGCATCTGCTGCCATTGTCCTTCTAGATGGCAGATGTCCTGGGTTTGAAAGGTGCTGTCAAAGGAGTCTTGGTAAGTTGTTGTGGTGCATCTTGTGACTGGCACACACTGTGTATTAGTGGTGGAGGGAGTGAATGCTTACAGTGTTGGATTGGATGTTGATTGAGCGGGCTACCTTGTCGTGAATGGTGTCAAACTTGGAGAATGATGAAACTGCCATCCAGGCAAGTGGAGAGTATTCCAGTACACTCTGGATTTGTGCTTGTTATTTGTAGACAGGCTTTGGGGAGTCATAAGGTGATTTGAGGCAGCAAGGTGCCTCAGTGGTTAGCACTGCTGCCACCGAGCACCTAAGACTCAGATTTAATTCCAGCCTCGGTCAACTGTTGGGGTAGAGATTGTATGTTCTCTCCATGTCTGCGTGGGTTCTGCCGGGTGCTCTGGTTTCCTCCCACAGTCCAAACATGTGCAAGTAAGGTGGATTGGCCACGCTCAATTGCCCATAGTGTTGAAGGATGTGCAGGCTGGGTGGGTTAGCCATGGTTAATCCCTACAGGGAAAGGGTGGGGGTGTTGGGTCTAGGTGGATGCTCTTCAAAGGGCCTGGGCAGACCTGATAGGCCAAATGGCCTCTATCTTCACTGTAGGGATTCTAAAATTCTATGCTCACTGCAGTATTCCTAAACTCTGATCTGCTCTGTGGCCATTGTATTTTTATAGCAAGCTCCAACAGCCCTCAAGATTGACCCTCAACAATACTTGATTGGACCACAGACCAACTGGATACAAAGTTGGCTTGAAAGTTGAAGACAGACAGTGGTTGTTATTCGGAGGCCTGTGACCAGTTTTGTGCCAAAGGGATCGGTGTTGGGTGCATTGTTATTTGTCATTTGTATAAATGATTTACATGAGAATTTAGGAGGTATGGTTAGTTGGTTTGCGGATTACATCATTATCCAACGCTGTCTTTTGTAACAAGGAATTAGGAGAATTAAAAGGGACCATGACAAGCAATATCATAAAGGCATTTTATGATACATAAGAAGCAAGAGGGTATTCTAAAGAAAGAGTAGATCCGCTCAAGCACAAAGGAGGGAATATATGCTTGCAGCTGAAGGAAGTGAGTGAGGTCCTTAGCGAATATTTTGCATCAGTATTCACAAAGGAGAAGGATAGGTTATGGTGAGTTTTGGGAAAGGAATAAAGGAGGAGGTATTGGGTGTTTTAAAAAGCATTAAGTTAGACAATCCCCAGGATCTGATAGGCTCTATCCCAGAATGCTGAGGGAGACGTGAGGAAATTCCGGTGGACTTGGACAAAATCTTTTGTATCCTCTTTTGTAGGTAGTGAAATGTCCCTTTTTAATGAAATAACAACTCTTTTGGAACACTGAAAGCAACATTGGCCAACTGAATGACATGCTGGGAAAACTGACAACTGAACAGCATTCTGGGAGTTGGATCAGGCCAGACAAACAGGTATGCAAACTGGTTACCCTGATTGAATAGATTGAATAGGTGTTAATGAGACAGTTGAACTGAGATACTAAACCAGGAAGATTGCAGCATTCACATGGATCAAGCCAGACAGATAGCAAGAGATAGCAAGAACTGCAGATGCTGGAGTCAAGGATAACACAGTGTGGAGTTGGAAGAACACAGCAGGCCAGGCAGCATCAGAGGAGGAGGAAAGTTGATGTTTCAGGTCGGGACCCTTCTTCAGAATTGGGGAGTGGAAAGGGAGCTCAGAAATAAGTAGAGAGAGGAGGGGTGGGGCTGGGAAAGGTAGGTGGGATGGTGACAGGTGACTGCAAGTCGGGAGTGGTGGGGATTGGTCAGTAGAATGGGAGGGGCGGATAGGTGGGAGAGAAGATGGAAAGATTGTGTCAGGTCAAGAAGATGGATGAGAGGGAGGGTTGGACATGGGATGAGGCTGGGGGAGGGAGATTTTAAAACTGTTGAATTCCATGTTTAGGTCATCGGGCTGTAGGCTTCCGAAGTGGAATATGAGTTGCTGCTCCTCCAGTTTTCAGGTGGTGTTTTTTTGACACTGGAGGAGGCCCAGAATGCACTTGTTGCCCAGTGGGGAGGGGGAATTAAAAAGGTTGGCGACCGGAAGGTGTTGTCATTTGAGACAACAAGGTGCAGGGCTGGATGAACACAGCAGGCCAAGCAGCATCATAGGAGCAGAGAGGCTGACGTTTCGGGCCTAGACCCTTCATCAGAAAAGGGGGAGGGGAAGGGGGTTTTGAAATAAATAGGGAGAGAGTGGGAGGCGGATAGAAGAGGGATAGAGGAGAGGATAGGTGGAGAGGAAACAAACAGGTCGAAGAGGCGGGGATGGGGCCAGGAAAGGTGAGTGTAGGTAGGGAGTTAGGAAGGGGATAGGTCAGTCCAGGGAGGACGGACAGGTCAAGGGGGCGGGATGAGGTTGGTCAGTAGGAGATGGAGGTGCGGCTTGAGGTGGGAGGAGGGGATAGGTGGGAGGAAGAACAGGTTAGGGAGGCAGGGACGAGTTGGACTGGTTTTGGGATGCGGTGGGGGGAGGGGAGATTTTGAAACTTGTGAAATCCACATTGATACCATTGGGCTGCAGGGTTCCCAAGCGGAATATGAGTTGCTGTTCCTGCAACCTTCGGGTGGCATCGTTGTGGCACTGCAGGAGGCCCAGGATGGACATGTTGTCTGAGGAATGGGAGGGGGAGTTGAAATGGTTCGCGACTGGGAGGTGCAGTTGTTTGTTGCGAACCGAGCGTAAGTGTTCTGCAAAGCGGTCCCCGAGTCTCCGCTTGGTTTCCCCGATGTAGAGGAAGCCACACCGGGTACAGCGGATGCAGTATACCACATTGGCAGATGTGCAGGTGAACATCTGCTTGATGTGGAAAGTCTTCTTGGGGCCTGGGATGGGGGTGAGGGAGGAGGTATGGGGGCAGGTGTAGCACTTCCTGCGGTTGCAGGGAAAAGTGCCGGGTGTGGTGGAGCTGGAGGGGAGTGTGGAGCGGACAAGGGAGTCACGGAGAGAGTTGTCCCTCCGGAAAGCAGATAAAGGTGGGGAGGGAAAGATGTCTTTGGTGGTGGGGTCGGATTGCAGATGGCGGAAGTGTCGGAGGATGATGCGTTGGATCCGGAGGTTGGTGGGGTGGTAGGTGAGGACGAGGGGGATTCTTTTTTGGTTTTTATTGCGTGGACGGGGTGTGAGGGATGAGGTGCGGGAGATGTGGGAGACACGGTTGAGGGCGTTCTCGACCACCGAGGAGGGGAAGTTACGGTCCTTGAAAAACGAGGACAACTGAGATGTACGGGAGTGGAATGCCTCATCCTGGGAGCAGATGCGGCGGAGGCGAAGGAATTGGGAATAGGGGATAGCATTTTTGCAGGAAGGTGGGTGGGAGGAGGAGTATTCTAGGTAGCTGTGGGAGTCGGTGGGCTTGAAATGAATATCGGTTTCGAGGTGGTTGTCATTTGTCGTGTTCAAAGCTCAGATACTCAACAAAGCGGTCTCCGAGTCTAAGACAACAAGGTGCAGAGCTGGATGAACACAGCAGGCCAAGCAGCATCATAGGAGCAGGAAGGCTGACTTTCGGGTCTGAACACTTCTTCATCTTCCTGGCCTGCTGTGTTCTTCCAGCTCTACACATTGTTATCTCAGATTCTCCAGCATCGGCAGTTCCTACTATCTCCGAAGAGATGCCTCTGGTTTGTTTTCTGGAGTGAGTCAAAATCCAACGTTAACTTGTTATGCTACTGTGTACAAACAAACTGCATATACAAAAAGCATATTTTTGAAATAAAAAATATCTTGATCGCCCTAGGCAGATTGTGAGGGATCCGTAACAACTGTAAAGTTACTCTGGAAGGTCGATGGGAAGACGGGATTTGTGGAGTTGCTATAAATCTACTTATTTTATGCTTCAACGATTAAAAAAACGTCTCATGTTGAAACCTAGTCCTTCACGACGAAGCGCTGCTCCTGCATCCTAGTAAATGGGCGTTCAGTTGTTTGGACAGAGTCGCACTCCAATGTTTGTTAGCTTCCTTGATATGCTACTGTGCAGAACCGAACTGCATTTGTGACTATATGTACATAATATATAGAAAATATATATAATTCACATATAATTTTATGAATAAAGTATGATTTCGAAGTTAAAAAAATCTCTTGCGCTCTTAAAGCAGGCTGTAAACCCGTATGAGGGCACGGGCATTTAAGAACTGTAAAGTTACTCTCGAAGTTAGGGGGAAAAACGGGTTTTATAGAGTTGCTATATATTTACCTGTTTGTGTTTCAACGATAATGAATCATGTCTCATGGCAAACCAAGTTTCGGTATTAGTCTCAAGTGCCCGGAATGTGCAGCCAGGGAAGGTGGTGGTCTCAGCTTAATGTCACATCCAAACAATGTTCGGAAATATTTACGTGTACCCTGCATTCTTAATTTTATACACGACTTGCTCTGAAGTCATTTATCTGCACGGTCGAACACAGAGGTTGGGAGATCGCAAAGCTGCAGTTAAACAAAGGAAGATTTGTTCAATTGGTAGCAAAGCTTGAAAATTGCTTTTGTTCGCATTCTGAACAGTGTTTGAAACCAGAGTAAAGTTCAAACTTTACTTCCTGTGCATTGGACGCTTCTGGGAATTTCTTTCCGCGAAACAGGAGGCAGTTTGAATGAAGCAGGGGCGGAGTGTTTCGTTCTAAGGGAGAAATGCAACTAAGCAGAGCTACCCCAAGTGAATGTAGCATTGAATGAGACACGAGCCTTCCAAATATTCTGTGATCCCTGTGAGGCATTGGGCTGTTCTCGACGTGAGGAAATTTCGGAAAACGATTTTTCGATTTTAGAAGAAGCAGCCAGTGTGACTGTAAGAGGTACGAGGTGTTGTGAGGTGTGAGCGAGTGAGAATTTGAGGCATACTTACCTGGCAGGGGAGATACTATGATCAGTAAGGTGGTTCTCCCAGGCCGAGGCTATCCTATTGTACACCGGGTTTGCTGATGCCTGCGATGTTCCGAAATGCGGGATACTCGGCTGCAAAATTTGTGGTAGTGGGGGACTGCGTTCGCGCTCTCCCCTGGTTTACGAATTTAAAACATCAGATGTTAAATAACTGTTAGATGGTTCCCTGTGCCGGGCATCTTGCATTTTTTACAACGAAGCACTGTTCTTGCACCGCAGCAAATGGAAGTTCAGGGCAGGTTTTGCATTGAGCGCCCTGCAATACAAACAGCAAAATGCGCTTAAGCCCAACAAGTCGACGTCGACTTGTGCTTCCCACCGATACGAATTCATACCGACCAGCTTCTGTCCAGCTCTGTGGACTTACTGGCTACGACCTTCTCGAGGTGTGCGACAGTCTGCTTCTGCCCGCTAAAGTGCAAATCCATCAGGAAGGGCACCATCGCCCTCAGCTACAAGCACGAGAGCGACCAAGTGCGAAATTGGCGACGAATGTCACGAAAATCCTGCTTCAGGTCATCAGCAACTGAGTCTGAGACCCGACACATCCACTTCGTCTGGAGGTCAAAGATGAACCGGATCCATAGGGTCACGGTCTACAAAGCTCTACATTATGCGCGGAGAATGTACCCAATGCTGCCCTCATCCTCACGGCCACCTTCATGTGTGGGTGCATCAAGCTGTGCGTAAACCTTCACTGCACAAACACCAAGAATGACTATGTACTGAGGTTCTGTGATACATGGGTCTGCCCTCGCTGCAAAGCTCCAAGTAGTTGGAGCGAACCACTGTGGAGATATTTGCAAAGGGAAAACTTGTGACCGCAAGTCCGTCAGCACGTAGCGCCCTCGACACCCTGCTGGAAAAGCAAAGGGCGAATCATCGAGTCATAAATAGTCCCTTTTGTCTGTATTTGGTCCACATCCATCCAGACCGAACACATCCATCTAACTGTCCAGATACTTCTTAGATGACAAAATTGACCTAGCTTCCACCGCTACCTCTGACAGCCCGTTCCAGATACTCATCATCCTCTGAGTGAAAAAAACATCGCTGGCTGGCCTTTTTTGTCTCTCTCTGCCGTCTATTTCTTGACTCCCCTATCATAGGAAAAAACTGTTCGCTATCTACCTTATCTGTGCCTCTCATGATTTTATATACTTTTTAAAAGTTCAAAAATACTTCATTCTTAAAAAAATTCTAAATATATATTTGTACACAAACAAATATGTATTCTCAGACAGCTTGGATTGTGAAATAGCATGTGCAGAAAACATTGGAGTTTGACTCTATCCAACAAACAAACGGAAGGCAATTTTTACTTATACAAGACTACATTTGAGGCACCAGGAGGGTCCAATAATTGAAGGACGCCCCCATTTAACTCCAGCACGAAAATTTCTGGATCTTGGAACGTGCTACAGCTTACAGGTCGAGGTAGGTCAAAGCAGGGCAGGACTTACACTATCAATAAGGATTGTTATAGGTCCACAACTACGTTCTGAGGGACACGCTACAGCCTGGGGTAACTGCTACCAAAACACAGCGGGGAAACACCACGGTCGAAGGTATTTGTTCTGAAATTAAATGGGGTCCATTCAGTTATTGGACCCTCCTGATGCCTCAAATATTGCCTTGTACAGGCAAAAGATGCCTTTGGTCAATTGTTTGGATAGAGTCACACTCCAATGTTTGTTAGCTTCCTTGATATGCTACTGTGCAGTACCGACCTGCATTCGTGACTATATGTACATAATATATAGAGTATATATATATAATTTATATATAATTTTATGACTAAAGTTTGATTTCGAAGTTAAAAAAAATCTCTTGCGCTCTTAAAGCAGGCTGTAAACCAGTATGAGGGCACGGGCATTTAAGAACTGTAAAGT